GTAGCAAAATAAGACATGCCAAGGCTTCCCTTTAGTCTGTTTCCAGTGGTAAGGGATCATTCAGATTGGAGTACAGAGAAATTGGGCTATTCTGTCCTAGGCAACAAAAAGTTTATGACAGCCCCAATTAGGCAAGGTACAGGTAAGGGGTAATCCCGTCCTTTGATCTTTGTACTTAAGTTCCAACTAATGGCCATAGTTTCTTGTTTTGGATATTACCAGCCTTTGAGTCTAAATTGTAGCCCAGTGCAGGAACTACTAGGTCCAGCACTGCGAAAGGAAAATTGTGGCAAAGTAGGGAACACCTGTAAGTTCCCCACTTTGATTATCTTTTAAATTATAATTGGTCTCACAGGTAGCCCATTTGTCAAAAGTGATAGTTGCTCAGGTTCCTTTGGTTAGAACTCCACCTGCAGGCCAGAGAGGGTGAAGCTCAACTGAAGGAGTTTCTGCTCGCTCTTTAGCTTTTACTAACACAATCAAGGAATTGCATTTTCATAGCCCTAACATCAGTTTGCAGCTCTATCATACCCAGATTCCACTTGAAAGTTGAATTAGCAGTAACCAACCTCAAACCCTGTGCTACTTCAAACCAAGGGTAGCTTTGGGTGACTACCATCAGCTGTTCATTTTCATCCTTTTTATGAAATCATCTTTTTCTTTCTAAATAATATCTTAGTCATATTTTTAGCTAAGAGTGAGCTAGGAGTCTTTGTTTCTGATGCTAACTACACTAATGGTGGCAGTTAGACAACTGAGTTGTTAAAGGGGATTCACAGTACCTGAATGACATTGTTTACAAATTCAGTTCATTTCAGGAACAAAATATAGTATCCCAACTACATTGAACACTGGATATGCATCACAGTCACAGGCTACCTTACAGAATAGGATCCAGAGAGGCCAGGTGTAGATCCAATTGCCCTCTGTTTACAAGAGCCATACCAAGGTACAAATTGTCTCTTGGATCAAGAATTACTGATGTTATCACAAAACAGGGTTGGAAACCCAAGAGCATAGATTGAAGTTTCAGCTAGGGTTTCCTATATCTTGCTCATAACCTCAACACATTCTTCCTATGTAGCCAGCTTAAAATCTTGTGGCATTCATGGATCTCACTGAGACCAGACAAAAATGATCATTGTTACTGTTATCGATAAACAGTGGTGATAACCTGTAACCCATGGTTACACATCAACCACAGTACATCACTTTTTTTCATTGCTTTGACCACTGTGCTGTGTAGATGTTTTAGCAAAACATCTCATGGTAACTCCAGACCATCTGGAATTAACCCTCATAGTACAATAGTTACACAAAAATGCATTGACTTTCTTGTGGTACAAAGATTTACTTGGAAAGTCCTTCATCCTTAAGTCAAAGCTGCCCATAGAATGGCATGATATCAATGATAACCTCCTCTTCTCATAAGCATCTTCTGTTCCCTGAGCAAGAAAAGAGTCAGCAGATAGACTCAGTTGTTTGGTCATTGCCATATGTTGACACACATATCCAGGTTGTGAACTTGGAGTTGTGTGGGCACCATGAGACTGTTTTCACCACTAAGCAACTTTTGGTGCTTCTCCTTTTCCCTACTATTATTAGTTTGGAGTGCAGAAGAGGTTTCCTTTTCTCCAAAGTCAGTAAGCACATCATCTCCTGTGCACTTTTTTGCCTTTCCATATGTTCCTCCATGAGAAATCAGAAAATGTAGATATTTGGCCATAATAGTTACAATAGTCTCTGTATCTGGTTTCAGTTTTCTCAACTGCAAAATAATTTTAAGGGTGCATTCTAGTTCTAAAAGTCTATGATTCTGTAAAAGACAAAAGACACTTTTCTCAGCTTATTTGTGGCATCTATATGAAGGTCTTAGTAAACCTTTGAACCTAGAAGATTGAGAAAATGTTTCAGTACAACCGGAGCCTTAGGAAATTACATGGAATTCTTATTCTTAAGTCCTTTCTCCCCAACTCATTGTCTGCCTTTTGGGCCAGCAAAGAGATACTGGGGAGTTAGTCATGTTTGTGCTGTCTCCACTTTCTTACTCCCACATCCCAGAGGAATGTGACAGCACCACATGGTCCTATTCAATGGTGTCAAAGCCTATATAGCATCCTCTTTTATTAAAATATTTTTGAGAGAGGGCATATTAAAATACTCAGGTTTTTATATAGCTTTAAAAATATATCCCTCAGTGAATATACTAAAGAATGTATATACATGCATGCACACATATGTATATATAGAGAGTTATATATATATTTACACACACACACACACACATATATATATATATTTCAAATGAAAATTCCTAATTTGAGGAAAAAGAATATTTTCATCAAACTGTGTGCTGGTTGCTTATTGAAGCTTCCAGAAAAGCTAACTATTATACTTAAAGATTTACCCCAAAATTTCCATGTATTCTTTAGTGTACTTGTTTGGAACAGTATATGTCTGTGTGGCAATTACATTTTCCCTATCTCTTTTCTCACATCTTTTTAGGTCTATAGCATGGTCTGTGTATACCTAAGTAAAGGTCTTTAAAAAATTGTTCCACGAAAGTAAAATTCTGTTTGATATGTTTGTTTTGGAAAATGTGTTCCTCAGTCTTCTGTAATGGATTGTTCTTATGTTTAACCACGTCCGGTTTTATCAGAGCACACTGCACAGTATTTCTCTCCTGTGTCCTCTTCTGCTCCTGTTATTTCACAGCAATTGTCTTGCTCCCCTCTGGAGTTATTTATACTCTGAAATTTTCTGTTCTGTGTATTACCTATTTACTTGTGCAGAGATAAGAGTAGACCCAATAAAATGAAATGCATGCAATTTTGCTGTTTGTTTCCATCTATGGGTACATTAGACTCTTCATAAAAAAGTGAGTCTAAAAATTCTCACTTGTTTTTATATCCTTGGATCTAAAGCAAAATATTTATAATGATTAAAGCAGAGTAACAAAAAAGAAAATAATAGAAAAAATTCAGACTACCATAGCTTCCTTCGATATGTGAAGAAACATGTCAGGAATGTTGGTACATGGAAGAAATTCATTTCTTCAATAATGGAACAGGTGTGCTGCATTTCTAAATGTTCTCATGACTTGCACTTGAAACTTGCCCTCTTAGGAAGTTAAGCACACAGAAGAGAGATTGAAAGTTTCAGTTTTGTTCCTGCACCTCTGTCCAGTCTTCCATGCAGTCCTCATTCAGCTTTTCTCTCCTTATAGCCTCCTGCCTACTTGCATTGTTATTTTTTTAAATTCTTCATTCTCTTCCCCCGCCCCCTCCCCCCAATTCCTTCTCAGTTTAGTCTCCCAATCTGCCACTTAAAACAGTCTTAGCTTTCATGGAAATAAACCATTTCTTCAGAGTACAAGTCATTCACTGAAATATAATGATGTTTGGGTCGATGACACTGGTCCCTTAAGGTTATACCATCTAGTGATGGCATAGCCATCTTAATTTGTGTGAGTACACTCTGATATTCACACGATGATGAAATTGCATAATGGCACTTTTCTCAGAATGTGTCCCCATTATTAAGCAACGTATGACTACATTTTAAAACAAAAGAAACTGGGAGTATAGCTCAGCAGCACAGCAGTTGCCTATCTTGTGTGAGACCCTGGGTTCCATCCCCAGCACTGCATAAACTAATAAACAAATAAATGAGTAAATAAATAAATAGGAGCCTTTCCTTCCACAGGAGGGGTGCTAGTCCAGGACATTTTTAGGGAAACTGGTCCATGGCAACACACAGCTTTATTCCTTCCACCACCAGGATACCTTTATGATTCCATGGAAACTACATAGTTTTCTATTTTCCTTTGCAAAAGAGAAAAGTGCGTACTACATAGGTATTAATCTACATAGGTGTTAACCACTACATTTGTTTTTTTCTTAGTATTTAATTAGAACTAGCCATAGGTAGCTAGTAAACTTCATTATGGCTTCAAATTTGCATTTCTTTATTATTAGGAAAACTGTTTACTGAATGGAGTGACCTGTGTTTATCTGAAGTTGCAATTAAAATTGTAGTCCTCCTTCCCCCTAGATGGGTAAGAGAGAGGTACTTAATTATTATTGATTCTTTGTCTGAAAGGACTGAGAATTCCAACTAGAGCTTAGTTGTTTAAGGTGGTATAAAAGCAATGCTGTTGCATTTCCAATTTGGCTAATAAATTGGCTTTAGAGAAAAGCATGTTTTCATGACACTTGGGAATAAAGCTCATGATTTGCTGATGTTGAACATGGGTGAAGTTTTACTTTTGTTAAATTTTTATCTTTCACCATATGATTAAATACCATCTCAGATCACGGGGATTCACGTCTCCCCCAGCTTTAGAAGGTTCTTAGCTTGAAAAGTACATTGTAAAAATACAGTTTGAAGGTAAAAGGAGAAATAAATGAGCCTAAGGCCGAAAAGCTGGATAGATTACATAGTTACTTCTGTTTGCCTATAGAAAATTTTAGTGAGGTTGATTATTTTTTCACCCAATGTTAAGGCAGCTGAGAGATGCTTAGGTCTCTGTTATTTCAAGGAGAGAAACACTTAATGACTATAAATGCACAGCCAGAAATCGAGTTTACACAACCCTAACCATACAGATTAATCTAACTGACCTTCTCTAATACTAATACAAGAAAGTGTTGTCAGAATTGCTTTCAACATCTCTACTATACGCTTTTCTCTTATTCGGGTAGAAATCACTGTGTTCACAGAGAACAGATAGAAGTTTCCTTAACTCTCAAATATTCACCAGTACTCCAGGGAACAGAACTATCTCTTTGCCCACATTTTTACCCAGTGCCAGTGAGATTTGAGAACAACTTTAGGTCCTGAATACTTGTCAAATCTACGTTTAAAAGAGGTTGGAGTTTGGGTTTGGTGTTTCCTAAAGGAAAAGAGGCAACTTCACCAGGATTCTCAAAGGAAAAGGAAGGATAGTAAAGGGGGGATTTTATGCTTTGAGTCATTTGTGATTTTATGTGTTTTTGCAGTGGATCTCTTGAGCCTGTCAGCTGCATGTGATGCCTTGGACCAGCACAATCTCAAGCAAAATGACCAGCCCATGGATATCCTGCAGATCATTAATTGTTTGACCACCATTTATGATCGCTTGGAGCAAGAGCACAACAATTTGGTCAATGTCCCTCTCTGCGTGGATATGTGTCTCAACTGGCTGCTGAATGTTTATGATACGTATGTATGACAGGTTTTTTTCCTGCCATGTCATGGGGGACCTAGTTTGCAAAATTGTGATGCTGTAATTAGCATTACAATAGAGCCTCAGAAGCTGTGGACCTGTTTAGATGATAAATCATTTCTGCATTCATGTGATTTGAAACTTATTTTGATCTCAAATTAGAAAACAAATAAAACTGACAGTCATTTTTCAAATTTTGACTGAGTCAACATGTAGCCATGGTTCTTTTCTTCTTTCACCTGTATATTTTGGAATTCCTCCATCCACTTTAGATTGGTCCCTCTCCCTGCAGGAGAGGATGGCATACCTGTCAATTGATGAGCCAAACAAAATGAAAATCAGCCCTTAATGCAGCAAACATAGCTCCTCAAACCAAGAAAGATTTGTTGTTGTTATTGCACAAAGTTTCACTTTGGCACCTCCTTTTGTAGCCTTGTCTCACAGAGTAGTTTGGATTGCTCACAGGAGATAGCTCCAATTCTAATTTTTGTCTTGAGCTTAATGAAGAAAATTGAGAAAGGAAGCAGAAGGAATTGGTCTTGATTTTCACCGAATTCTTTTTAGACCTCAAAATTACTACATGCCTCATTTCACACATCAAAGAGAACATATTCCCATTTGAAATCTGGGAAGGTTTTACTGAAAAGAATTGCATAGCAAGTGCTTTCACTTTCGCTTTGTTGTAGATTTCTACCACCTCATCCATTAAAATTTATACTGTTTTCTTTGTTATTTTCATAAGGTATTGCTTTTTAAATTTCAGGACCACCTGGCTATTAAATTCATGATAATTATATACCAAGTCCTTGAATGTGTTGGATTTTAGTTGTTGATTACATTTAAATTTGTTTTGATAAGGTTTGTACTCAGGTCTTCCCTCATATATATTTTGGCGCCATTTTCTTTTCAGATGGTATGTGAATGGATTCTGAATGTATGACTTCCATTCTATCTGTCTGAAAAAATTATTTGAGGATAATTTTAACTTCTTGAAGACCTGAGTTGCTCTATAAAGTTTCTGTTAACTTGTTAACTTCATTAACTTTTCTTAAGAGGGGGAAAAAGATAAAATCTTCCAATGATAGGAAGTTTGTTAATACATTAGAATCGAGAATTTCTCTTTAAATGAGGGATTTAATAATTGTACTAGTTGAAAATTGAATATTATTGGTCACCCAAAATACTAATATCTAAGATTAGTTGCTTTCCATAATATTGGAAAATTATTTCAAAATTATTGAAAGATATTTTCTATAAAATGAAAAGTATTTCATTCTTATTTTCCATTTTTCTACATTGAAAAAATAAATTTTTAAAAAATTTGTTGCCAGGTGCCTGTGTCTCATTTCTGTAATCCTAGCTACTCAGGAGGCAGAAATCTGAATTACAGTTCAAAACCAGCTCAGGCAAATAGTTCAAGAGACCCTATCTTGAAAAAAGTCCATCACAAAAAAGGGCTGATGGAGAGGTAGAGTGCCTGCCTAGCAAACATGAGGCCCTGAGTTCAAAACCCAGTACTGCCAAAAAAATAAACAAATAAAATAAAAAAATTTATTATATGGCATGTTTGATTTTAGCTTTCTATATCTAAAATGAAAGCATAGATACATTAAAACATTGATATAGCAGTAGGTTACCTATAAATTTCCCTTATGGAGCATGTATTTGAATGCTCTCTAATAGAGTGTGTCATGGGTTTTTTGGATATTAATGTTCATATGTTATATTTTGTAGCCTGAAGTGATTAGTCTTCTTAACATGGGCAATTTGATGAAAATCTGAGAGTATAGAAGAGAGCAGAGCAGTTAGTTTCTGATAATTTTTTGGCCTTAGTAACCAAAATAGGGGGCTGGGGTGTGGCCCAAGTGGTAAAGCACTTGCCTAACAACCCCTGAGTTCAAATCCCAGTACTGCCAAAAAAATAAGTAATTTGCATTAGTAACCAAAGTAGCTTAGTTTACAGTGATAATTCTTCTACTTACCCACTTAACATATGTGGTACCACTTAACATATGTGGTGGTTCACCACATATGACTAGAAGGATATTTTTTCCTATTTTATGTACTGCCTAACAATTCAAGTAAGGGCTTTTGAGAATTAGAAACTTGGTCAATATTCATTAATCTAACTGATCAAATTTCCATTCCTTTCTAGGTCATGAACCATATAGATAAATGAACTCATAAAAGTTCTTAACAATTTAACAAAACAGTGGTCAATAGAGTTCCCATATCCAGGCTTTTTTCTTAACTAGAAGTTTTTAGGCTCTAGTAGAATGTCAATAATTATTTTCTGGTTTGATTATTCATAATAGGGGACGAACAGGGAGGATCCGTGTCCTGTCTTTCAAAACCGGCATCATTTCTCTGTGTAAAGCACATTTGGAAGACAAATACAGATGTAAGTCATGTATATTAACTCTGTATTCTTCTATTGATGTTGGCTAATTACCCTAGTTGTAGATGGGAAATGACATAGCAGGTTTCTCATGTAAGATGTAGAACTGCTTTTCTTTTCTTTTCTTTTTTTTATTATGTGCATACATTGTTTGGGTCATTTCTCTACCCTGCCCCCCTCCCCCACCCTTCCCCCCCTCCCCTCCTCAGTTTCAGGCAGGTCCCGTTCTGCCCTTGTGACTGATTTTGTTGAAGAAAAGACATAAGCATATAAGAAAGACAAAGAGTTTTTGCTAGTTGAGTTAAGCATAGCTATACAGAAAGATTCCTACTATTGCTCTCATGTACCCATGTGTTACGACCCATGTTTATTCAACTCTAACTGATCTTTACATTGGTTCCTGATCCCCTGTTCATAATAACCTGTCGTTTTAAGGTTTCTGTATTAGTTCCTCTGGAGTGGGGACATCAAACGCTTTCGTGTTTTGGGTTTTCTGCCTATTTCTATATCTCCCGTACGTGCTCTCCCCTTTTCTTGTGATCCGAGTCCAACAACATTGCTGCATTTGCTCTAGATCTAAAGTCCGCATATGAGGGAGAACATACGATTTTTGGTCTTCTGAGCCTGGCTGACCTCGCTCAGAATGATG